ATGATTATTGGTGAGACCTACAACTTGTTATAATACTTTTCTTTAGCGGAGCAGGGTTTGTCCAGTATTTTATAAATGATTTCCTGCCTTGTGGGTTTTAGTTAAATATACAAATGATAATAGAGAATTGTTTAAAAAGGTGCAGCTGAACTTGCGTAATTCCAGGGTTATTGTCTCAGGTCTTAGAAAGGGGGGTATTTGGTGTAGACAGAAGGGTAGAAGAGGAATCTATTTTCTCTATTTTCCTGGGTACAGGCACATTTAGAACAAGAACAAAATTTATCTCATGAATCACATTTGGGATTTTAAAAACCTCTCACTGATCCAGTAACTGCAACCTTTGAGATTTCAGTATAAGTTTGGCCTGAACCTGCAGCGTTTTGGCCATTATTTTGCTGCACAAAATCCGTGACCTAATTTCCTGGTGAAGCCCAAATGAAGAGTTTGGATAACAAACAGATTAGATATTTGGCATCTTTACAAAAACAGTTAAAAGATTGAATACACAACGGAACTTAAAACAAATAAAACTTGCTCTTGTCTCCTGGGGCCCCAGAAGTTCTCCTCCAGACAAACGTCAGACTTCTCCCAATTAGAGCCCATCAGAAAGCCATCACATAGCAATTAAAACACAAAGAAACTCACCCAAAGAATCTCCCAAGGACCATTTGCCAGTATCATGCTGTTTCCAGCTCCAGAACTGACAAGGCTGGGTTTGTAAGCTTTGCAGGCATCCCGACTCTCTCTCTCTTATATAAGTTGCTTTATGGAGTCCCCAGTGCCTTCATATTCACTCTCTCCTCTAATGTTCATGAGAACCTTGTGGCATAGGCTCAGGTAAGTGGGCCTGCCTCAGTCTCTCCACCTTGTAATGCTCCCACCCACCCAGGGAGGACCTTTGCACTCACAATTCTCGCTGCCTCCTCAACCTTCCCGCCCTTTACAGCCTCCCACCTCCTACTCATTTTCAAGGTTTGGGCTTGAAATGTCCCTTTTATTAGGGGCACCTTCCCTGGCTTCCCAGACTAGAGTAGGGGCTTTTTATAACACATGCCCATTGTTCCAAAATTTTCTCTTTGCGGCACTTGTCACAGCTTGTCACTGAATGTTGACGCTTCTATTTGGCACTGTCAGTTTCTCTTTCCGGAGAGTGAACTCCACCAGGGCAGCAAGCACGCCTGCCTCGCTCATCTCTGAGCGTCCAACATGTAGCAGAGAGCCTGGCAACTTGAGTGGATCAATGAAAGACAGTGATGTTATCCTCATTTTACAGGTGAAGGAAGAGATCTGGAGAAGGAAGTCACGTCTCAAGGTCACAGCCTATTAGTGGAATTGCTGATGCTTGAACCCAGGAATCCTGGCTCTCAGCCATTTCTTTACACTCCTGAGCTGCCCAGGAGCAGAGTTTTCTTGTCGCTTCTAGGGGATATCATATTGAGTGCTGGTGCCCCCATTTGGTAAGGGTGTCCAAAGTCCGGATCTCATTGGTAGCAGAACCCCCACAAGACACCGACAGCCCAAGAGAGCATGACTCTAGCACTGCTTGACCGGGTCCCCCTCATTCCAGGATCTCTTAGCATCCTTTGAGGTAGGTCCTTGAACGCCCTGCAATTACTCCCACTCTCCCAGGAGCCAGAAGGAGAGGAATGGGATAATTAATGAGAGGGCGACAGGCCTGTCTTCATTACCAAGAATATCTCCCAGCTCCTGGAGGCATTTCCGCATTGGGTTTAATGGTGCATCCTCTCTCAGCATCACAAAGCTGTTCACTTTACTTCATCGCTTAACTCTTTCAGCACTTGCGTGAAGTTCGATGAGTGAAGACATTAACCAGTGAGGCTGTGAGCTCCATGAGGGCAGGGCCTTTGTCGGATTTGGTCACTGCCACATCTTCAGTTGTGAGAACAGCAGCAGGGATGCAGTAGATGCTCAATAGATATTTTTTAAATCAGTGAACTGGGAGCTTCCCAGTTGTCAGGAAATTATTACACCCATAGCTCATAGCAACTGTTCCTGATCTATTTTACACATTAGGCAGCCAAGTTTCAGAGAGTTATTAGACTTGCCCAAGGTCAAAAACTTAGTAATCAGTGGAGCCAGGATTGCCCCTGAGGCGTCTGGGTCAAAGCACCAAACGGGGAAAGATTAGGATTAGGAATTCAGGCAGAGAGGCAAAGACATGGTTTATTCTAGTGATATCCAGGTAGGGATGAGAATGGGAGGGCAGTTTAAATACTAGGAGGTGTGTTCACTAGGGAAGGGGGAGAGGAGTATCATGCAACAAGTTTCCAAGTCAAGTGCAAACTCCAGGTTCCTGTGGCGGTCAGGGTGAAGGCATGATGCAGGTTGCCGAACCTCGTAACACTGGGTCCTGCAGCAGGAATCATCCAGGAAGCCTGGCAATGAGGAATTACTGTGCACAGGTAGGGGCAGGGACCTGAGTATCAGGCAGGGCCTGGGTCCCAGGGGTAAAGTGGAAAGAGCCCTGGAGGGGAGTCACAAGGCCAGGCCCTGCTCTGCCCCCACACGCTCCTGCTCTCATACAAGTCTCTTTCTACTCTGGGTCTGTTTTCCCCATCTCTGAAATGAGGGTTGGCACTTTACAGTTTAGAGTGACTCTGGGATCCTTTCCCCTCCAGCATCAGTTCATAAAGTAAGTAGACTGCATCTCATCTCAGAAATGGTCACTTTGTTTAATCCAACATGGGAATTCCTGCTCCAGGATTCTTAGCAGATGGCATAAGTTTCTGTTGAGTAGCTTTAGGCCAGTGGTTCTCCACTGAGGATGATTTTGACTCCCTAGGGACATGTGGCAATAGCTGAGACATTTTTAATTGTCAGTGGGAAGAAGCACACTGTTGGCATCTAGTGGGTAGAGATCAAGGATGCTACCAAATACCCTACAATGCACAGGAAAGCCCAGAGTGTCACCTGTGCTGACGCTGAGGAACTAGGCTCTAGGCACAGGTGACTGACTGCATCTTGAGGGAACTCATGGCTGTGGGCATTGTGGCTAGGACAAGCTGATACTGACATGCTCCCTGTAACTGCTGCCCTGGCCTTAGATCTACCTGGAGGAAGGGCCCTCATTCCTTCTCAAGACTGTCCATCCAATCACATTGATTCTACCAATGGTACTCACCTGTGGAGGGAGTATGCATGGGCCAGTGTCAGGGCTGAGGGACCAGTGCCAGGAGCACAGGACCTCAGGGAGGAGGCCAACAACTCTCATACAAGCTGGAAGGGACCAGGGGCAGACAGAGGGCTGTGGGGATGTGGGGAGAGGAGACCGTGTTAAATTGTGGGTGGGGTTGGGGAATCTGGGGTGTCTATGAAGCATGTAGTGACTGAACTGGGCCTCAAATGATAGGATTTCCAAAGGAGGACACAGGAAGGCAAAGGGAAGGGCTGTGAGTTCTTTTCAAGGCCAAACAAAGTCTTACCACAAGGTCCAGCCTGTCTGCCCAGCTCGCCTCCCAGGCGCATCTCACATCCACCTGCACCCCGGCCACACAGGCTCCTCTTGCCCTCAGGCACTCGCTGCTTCTTCACCCACCTCAGTCCTGCAGGCTCCATCTTCTCAGTTTGGCGTATCCTATTCCACTTTTTGGTCAGATGCTATGATCTGAATGTTCGTGTGACCCCTACATTCACATGTTGAAATTCTAAGCCCTAAGGTGATGGTCTTAGAAGGGAAAGCTTTTTGGGAGGGGATTAGGTCATGAGATCAGTGCCCTTATAAAAGAGGCCCCAGAGAGCTGCCTTGCCCCTTCCACCATGTGGGGACACAGAGAGTAGGTGCTGTCTCTGAGAAGGTGGGCCCACATCAGACACCAAATCTACGGGACCCTTGATTTTGGACTTCCCAGCTTCCAGAACTGTGAGAAATACATTTCTGTTTATAAGCTGCCCTATCTACAGTATCTCAGTCTGCTCAGGTTATAGCGGTGTTGAACTACACCACCAGTTAACACCCACTCATGATCTGGATCAGCTCCTGGCCCTTCTTCAGGGAGCCCTCCTGGATATTCCTCCTACCCCGTTATGTGCTCTCAAAGCCCCACGCTTCTCTCCTTCATGACACTTGCCATGGCTGATGTTTATTTGTGTGATTATGAATTAATGCCTTTCTCCCCCAGGGGACTGTAGGGCTAGGTGGGCCTCACCATGGATGCTAGCACAGCCTGTACATTCCAGTGCTCAAGAAACAGTCGTTGAGTGGATGAATAAATGATCGAAAGTTGGCTTTGGCAGCTTAGGTGTCGGGTATGTTCAAGGCTACGAAAGAAGTCTGGGACCTCGACAAGAATTTAAATGCTGGACTGAAGTGTTTGTAGCTAAATAGGCAGACAGGGAGGGGCCCTGAAGAGCAGGATGGTGTCAAGAGCATGTGATGCCCTTGGATGGTGGCCTGGGGCAGAGGGTAGAGGACTGAGCAGAATCTGGAGAGTAATTAGAAGGCTGTTGTAAGAGTCCTGGGGCAAGAGGGCTGGGAAGCAGCCGAGGGAAAGCGGCCCTAGTTAGCTTTGTGGAGACAGTTGGCACTCCTCATCCCTCTGTGCATTCTGAGAGTCCCTGGGAAGCCCCGAGCAGCAGCCTGGCGTGATGCTCTGAGATATGGGGAGAAGGAGGTGAAGTCGAGGCTGTGATGCTATAGACACTTTGCAGCCCAGGCATTCTCCTGAGGCTCTCTGACCCCTTGGTCCTGTGTAGCTCAGCTTCCCACCCCCAGGCAGAGCCAGGAGAGTCTGCTCAGAGTGCTGCCAGGGAAGCAGGCCAGCTGGGCAGTGGGTGGAGGTGCACAGAGACGGAAGGCAGATTACATGTCACTTTATATTAGCTACACCGGCAACCTTCCTGATCCACCCAGAGAGGGGCCAATTAGTTGCAATTCTGAGGAAAAGCCAAGATCCAAGATAGCGCTGAGCCTGAAGGAGGCTGTACCTCCTTTCCAGCCATGAGCAGATCGGAAGGCCTTGCAGAGGGCTAGATTTGCTCACCTGTGAGGTACATCTCCTCTCCTTCAGTGAACATCTGGTGGCAGCGGACACACCTGGCACAGGTTGGGTGGTAGTGCTTCCCTCCTGCCTACGGAAATGAAGAGATGAAACAGGAGGTCAGAGTCGGGGCTGCTGTCTAGTGGGGCAGACTGGGTTTGAATCTTTCTTAGGTACGTTAGTGTTGTTCGCATCTTCACGGCCCTAAAGTTGGTTGGAGCTACCCAGGAGAGTCCACAACCATCTAAAAGTCCACTCAGGAAGCTTCATGATTCACTCCATGGGTCCCTGATGGCAGTTCAGGGGACTTCCCTGAACACCTGCACTTCTCTTCTGGCACTGGGAAGGGTCCTTCAGAGGCCACTGGTCCAACTGCCTCATTTCCAGAGGAGGAAATAGGCTTGCTCTGAGGACATCCAGCATCTCCCCAAGTGAAATGCACTTACCACTAATGGTACATGAAATGATTTTAAGTGGCACATGAACTTGGGATTGAATAACATTGGACCAATGGAAAAAAATGATCCTTTCAGTCCTCTATACATTCTTCTGATTTTGTCAAGGAAGAAGTACTAGTTTGGTGCTTGTGTGCCTTTAATCTATCCAAAACTTACCAATCTTCCTTTTAAAGAATGTGAACAGGTGTGAGGCTTGGAACCTTCACATGCAATAGAATCTAGCTAGAGCTCTATTTATTTTCAGGTTACCTGCAATATGGCAAGTGATACTGGTTTTCCTGTTATGCTGCATATAAGTTTCTTACATATAAGAGAGACAACTTCAAGACAACTGAAAGTATTATGGAAGAATGAGCACACAAGGTTCACAGACATGACAAAAATTGTGAGACTGGCACATAAACAACAGATTTTTAGGGCACAACGGATGACTTAGGACCCACTGCAGAGACCCGGGCCCGCATGCCAGTCCCGTGACTATTGCACCTGGGTGTGTCCAGCCCTACCCCAGCTCACCCTAGAGTGGTTTTGGTGAGTCCCCTTCCCCATTTTTACTTTCCTTCCCTATCACTACTTAAATTAAAAATGAAAACAATTTGCAGCTGCGAAGACTTCCATCGGGGGAAGAAACAGCCTCAGAGAAGTTTGTGCCTCAAGGGTTCACCACAAGCCAGCAGCAGTGTTTGGCCTGGATCTGTGTGAGCCAGTCACCAGCTCAGCACTCGCTTCTGCAGCCACAATTCTGACATCAAAATCCCAGCCAAGAGGGCTTGTTGCAAAAGGGCCCTTCAGTGGCAGCTCCAGCATTTGTATATGCAGGAGCTTGGTGCAGCCATTGGGTTGAAAAGTGGGCCTTGTTTGAAGAAGTATTTTGCAACATCAGGGCAGGGTTTTCTTTGGGTGAGGGTAATGCCCAGGGGAAACTGATGGCTATTAGGAGTTCTTAAAGTTCCCTGTCCAAGACATCACTTGATCTGATGCTAACAGGTTCCTTCCAATTCAAAAATTATAATTGCATAATAAGAAGATCTATTTTTTTTGTGGGGGGGGGGTGAGGGTGGAAGATTGTTGGAATGGGCTTGCCTATTCTTGAGATATTCCCTCTGTTCGAAAAACTTAGCAAGAATGTGGGAAAGGCCGACTCTTACAAAAAGAAAAAAAATCTCCAATATCCCCTTTTTCCCTCCCGTTTGGTTGTTTACATGGCCTCACACCAATGAGAAAGTGTCCTTGTCATCACCAAAGCAAACATGTTCAAACTTTGGAATGAGCCTGCTATTTTCCCAAGCTGGAATGTCGTGGGACTGATTCTTTTGTACCATGACAAGGATAGTCGGTTTAATTAGCAGCCTCTTCCTACTCTGTGTCTCTTTATCATTTCGATTATAGACCTGTTTTCCAGTGTGGCAACAGTGCCTTGGCAAAACTGAAGCTTAGCATTTTCCTAAATGTCATGCCCTACTACCTCGCCCCAGCTGAAAGAGATGAGATGCCCCAGCTTTGTGCCCATCTCAGCAACCCCAGTCTTGGATGGTATTAAAAACGGTTTGAGCAAAGGGAGGCTATCAGGCAGCCTGCACCCAGAGTAAGAAAAAGCCACGTCCGCTAGCTAAGAGGAACCATTTTGTCTATTAACGAACCCAAATCAGGAAAATAGGAAAGAAAAATGGCAAAAAACTGGTACCCTCAAAACAGAGCCCTATTTGAGAGGACTGAAAACGGCAAAGCAGGTTTGAAAATGTAGCAAGTAAACCAGGTTGTGGTCCTTTTTGGTGAGGAAACAGACAAGGATGGAAGGAGTGAGGCTGACAGCACACTGAGCCCTGTCACTGAGGAAGGGATCATAGGGTGGCCTAGGGAGGTGACGAGAAGGGAGAGGATGAGAAGAGAAGGAGAAACAATTTAATTAAATGCCTGCAGTGTGTCAGACGACGTGCTGGGCTCTGCCCTGGGCGACTGTTGTTCCTGCCTGACCGACCTTCCCTCTGTCTTCCAGAAACAGCCCTAAGCCTTTCCTTGGTGGGACTACCTCTCCTCCATACCAGTCCACAGGGTTAAGTAGTGCTGATCCCACCAATGAGCATATTCAAACTCTGTGGGGATAATTATCAGGCCAGGCATGGGCCTGAGACTGTCCAATGAGAGTCAGTCCCAGAATGCTTGCTGATCTATTAGAAAAGAGAAGCTCATTTTCCACTGGGGATACCGGCTAATAGAATCTAAGCCTGGGGCAACTAGTGTCCAACTCAACCTGGAAGAAAGTAAGCCAAGGTGGCTGCAGATTTTGCTTAAGCACTAGATCCAGCTCCTGGGCTGTTTGTTATAGGAGCTGACAAATTTCCTTTCTGTCGCAGCCCAAAAGGTCCTGACTAACATATTCATTAGGAATTAAATGACAGTAGTACTGTCTATTGACAGATACAGACTAAGAGGAAATATCTTGCTTAAGGCTTTGTGGCTAGAAGTGGTAAAATCTAAATTCAAGTCTGACTGCAGCCACGTCTATTTCCTGACATCATGCTCCCTCAAAGACCCCTGAGTGGCTGAGAGCTGTGGGCATCAGTGTGGATACAGGAGCCTGGCGTCCTAGATTTTAGCTCTGTCTCTACCAGAAATACTGCTTGTGACCTTGGACAAACACTGCAGATCTTGGTCTCGCTCTTCTCATCTGTAAAATGAAGAGGTTGAACTAGGTGATTGCTAAAAGTCTCTTCCAGCTCTAAGAAAAAAAATCAATATATCCAAGATGCTAATGGGGCCTCGTAGAAATGGAATCAATGGAAACTCAGTCACAACAGCTGCCTGGGAGGAACAGTCCACCACAATGCTAAACAGTGGTAACTCTTGGGGAAATAGCAGCCGCCACCAACAGGATTTCAAAGCAGCTTGGAAATGCTGAACAAATTCCCATCCGTGTCCCTGTCTGTAACCTAAGTTCTTTCTTTCCGGAAAGAAAAGTCTGCTTTTGTGGTATCTCCCACCCCTTTGACCCTTCAGCCCACCGTACTCTGGACGCCTCTTCCCCACAGTTCTGCAGAGCCAACAAATGACTTCTGAAGGTGACCTTTCCCACATCCAACAGCTTTTCCACAGCCTGTGTAGTCCTTCACTGCTCTGCAGAGTTTGATCAACATTCTGACCTTGCCATGTTTTCTGAAGCTCTGTCCATTCACTGAATCCTCAATTCTCCTCTCACATCTTCCTCTGCTACCTCCTCAGCCTCTTTCTGAGTTGCTTTCACTGTAAGCAGCTACTTGCCAAGATTGGTGTCAGCCTCTTTCCTTTTCTCTGTTTTGGAAATCCCGAGGACTCCGATGGTGCTATTATTGAAAGCCTTGTGTTTTTCAGTTTGACTCCTCCAGGCCTGAGCTTTGTTCCCGAGCTCTGATCCATATTTCTCTCCTTTTCCCCTTTTACTTGCCTGAGGTAGGGTCTTGCTCTGTTGCCCAGTCTGGAGTGCAGTGGTACAATTTTGACTCCTTGCAACCTCCACCTCTCAGGCTCAAGCAGTCCTCCGGAGTGGCTAGGACTACAAGTGTGCACCACCATGCCTGGCTAATTTTGTTTATTTTTTGTAGAGATGAAGTCTCACTATATTGCCCAGGCTGGTCTTGAACTCCTGGACTCAAGTGATTGTCCTATCTTGGCCTCCCAAAGTGCTGGGATTACAGGCAACAGCCACCATTCCCAGCCTCGGATTCGTATTTCGGACTCCTAGGATGTCAATCACAACTCATCCTAACTGGCACTCACCACTGTTTCTGCCAGGTCAGCTTTATCCCTGCTGTCCCCAGTTCTGCTGATGACACCAGGCTTCCTATTCCCCAGAAATAGGTAATTCTTTGGTGCAACTTTTAGCTGCTCCTCCTTCAATCCCCATCTCCACATGCTACCCCTCAGTTGCAGAGTGATTGAAATTCCACTTCCATAGGCCTGGGCACAAGGGTGACTGCCCTCTTCATTGCTACTGTACCTCTCGAGTCCTTCCTGCCTGGGTCATGCCAGGGCCTCCTCACTCGTCCCTTCTGGCTTCCTTCCTTCAAATGTAGCCTGTGTACATTGTCACGTCCTCCTCCCGGAAGCGCAGCTCCAACCAGGACATTCCTGCCCAGTCTCTCCACAATGCTCCCTTGCCCAGTGAGTCACATGTAAACTCCACCCTGGTATCCCAGGCCCTCAGAAACCCACCCCCAACAACCCTTCCTGGACTCAGGCCTTGTCTTCTGCATCGAACTCCTTAGAGCTCCCTGGAGATGCTTAATAGTTTCCCAGCCCTGTGCATTTGTTTATCTCATTGGCTCTGACGCTCTCTGTCAATTCTCCACATAATAATCAGAGAAATCTTTTAAAAAACATGATTGTATCATGTTAGTCCTCGGTTAAAAACTCTCCAATGGCTTTCCATTGCACTGAGTATAAAACCCAAACTTCTAAACATGATTTACAAAGTCCTACATGGTATACCATATATGATATCCTACTATAGTTCATCCTTCTCTACCCTCAATTTATAGAATTCAACCACATTGGCAGACCGGGTCAGCTATTGTGAGCAGAATCATTAATTTTGCCAGATCTGGCATCTTGGTTGTGGTTACCGTGAGTGCTGTGTTGAGAAAAAAATCTGTAGCTATGTGTGGGTTCTCTGTTCTTTGAATGGGTAAAGCTCATTCTTCCTATATCTCTTCCCACCTCAGGGCTCTCACAGATGGCTCTTTCATCCTCAGGGCTCTGCTTCACTGCACATCCTCAGAGAGTTCCTGGTTGCCACATTCTCTCCTGCTGAGTCCACATGTGGCTGCAGAATTGTTCTCAGCAAAGCACTCATGGTAACCACAACCAACTGGCCAGAATTGGCAGACAGAATCATTCTGCTTACAATACCTGACCCAATCCGATCTTCCAGCTATTGTCAGATGGAAAAACGGAGGCCTTGAAAAGCAAAGATAACTACCCCAAATCTGAGCAGGGGTTAGCAGTAGAATCAATATTAGAACTAAATTATTCCTGTTAGGCTATTATTTTTCCTTTCCACTGAGTCCTTTCCTGTTTCTAATTCTTCAAGGTGGGTGGTCCCAAAGTATAGGAAGATAGCTTTCAGGCCCACAGGATATAGGAAGGAAGGCCAGAAAGACCAGCGCACAGGGCTCCGCAGGGCCTCAGCAAGGGTGCTGCAGGTTGTCTGTTACTGCAGGAGTCATGCATCAAAGGCTGGGGAGAGGTGTTGCCATGGTAACGGACCCACCAAAGAAGGGCTTAGGGAGCAAGCTGCTAGACAAGCTGGCTCTTATATCAGCACATTACCAAGTACTAAAAAAAATAAAAAAGACTTCCATCCTCTGGCAGGGCTGGGAGGAAAATCTTAATGTCACTCTCTAGACATCTGTCTGGGTCCGAATCAAAGATGCAACTGATTTTCCCAGCACAGCATTTTTTGAACCAGGAAGAATTTTGTCCACCTTTTCATTTTGGGGTTTCCCAGAGATCTCAGCAAGATTATCTGCTCAAGGTCATGTAGCAAGCAAAGCTGGAGGAGGTAGAGGCTACGGAAAAAAGGCGTGGGGTGACTTTCTCCTTCTGTGATGACTTTTTGGAGGCAAAGGTCACCCTGCCACATCTTCACAGTTACTTATACCCACTCACCTCCAAGACTCTGCCACTGATGTATCGGTCACAAGTCTCACATTTAATGCCAAACTGGGAGTGGTAGTCGGCTTCGCAGTATGGAACACCATCCCTGCAAGAAGAAGTTCACAAGTGGTGAGGAAGTTAGGGAGGATCAGTGAGGGTGTCACATGGCAGTTAGATTCAGGAACCTGCAGCCCGTGGTGGCTGAGCCAAAGTTCGAGGCTCCTCCTTTAATAAACAATTTCATCCGTAGTGAAAGAATCATCTGACAGTGCTCCCAGACTAGTAGATGACAGGAAGCCTCCTGGGACCACCTCCTGTGTGCTCCATTTTTACCCAATTCTTATCACTTAGCGGACAGTGATAAGATTGTTATCACTTATTCATATGCCACCCCTTATGGCTAATAGCCACTAACATTTACTGCTGGTGTATGCTGGGCTCTTTGATGGTGTTTTACGGATTATTTCATTTAATCCTTCCGACAATCCTATGAGTCAGAATTATTAGTATCCCCATTGCATAGGTGATGAAACCCAAGCATAGAGCACTTAAGTAACTTGTCTCAGGCCACCCAGGATGACCTAGAGCTGGGATTCAAACCCAGGTGGTCTAGTTTCTCACCCAGGTTGTCATGAGAATTAAAGGAGATGCGTCTAGGGTACCCTAGGGCTCAGGACAGTGCCCAGCCATACTGAGTACTCAGTAAATGGCAGCTGGAGGAATCGCCATGATCACGGAGAGGCGTCTTTGAGGAGGATGTTTGGTTTTCAGTTCTTTAGGACTGATATAAAGATAGGTGGAGGCATCAGAGAGCTCAGCCTAGCTTCTGGTCCCCGCCTCGCTCTAATGACCAAGTCTGAACTCTGAGGAGAGAGAAACCTGTCCTTCACTTCTGGGTGTAAGAGAACTTGGCTCAGACACTGAGAACCCTAAAGGAGGGGCACATCACTTTTCCATCTTGAAGCTGTTGCCATGCTGAGGTTGCTGGGGGCCCACCCTGGGCAGCATTTTCCTGAAGGAGAAGCAGCAGTGAGGACTCACGCCTGACCAAGGTCTGGAGGTATGACTGTGCTCACAAGGCAAGGACTTGTTTGTGATCCCATGAGACACACCTTCCCAACCCTTTCAACTCCACCCCGGCTAAATCAGGTTCTCACTCTGTGGGTGCGGGAGGGTGCTCTGCGGGGAGAAAAAGTCATTTGTCAGAAGGTGGATGTAAAAGCCAACAAAATTTGGGTATAAATGCCAACACAGTCTCTTTTGGATCCGTCGTTGGTGAAGCCTTGGAGAATTAGAAATATGCAATTCTAAAAAGGGGAGGATAGTAAAATGAGTATTTACTGGGCACTTATTGGGGGCTAAGCACAGAGCTCTGAGCCCTTACCCAACCCTATGGGTAGATTATCTTCTTTCCATTTTTATAAATGAAGAAACTGAAATTCTGAGCAGCGGAGTCCCTTGCCAAAGTCACATAGGCTGGGCTTCCACCCTGGGCATCCGGTGCCTGAGCCAGGGCCTCTGAGCCCCTGCCACTCTGCCAGCAGCCAGGTCAGGGGCCCAGAGCTAGGCTGTAGAGGCACCAGGTGTGGTGGGCAATCTGGGCTGGGCCTCCTTGAGAGAAGCTCTGAACAACCCCTTAAGTCCCCAGAGAATTCTGATTTCGGTTTCCAGACTCGAGCACTTCTGGCTGGCAACATACTAAAGGCACTCTTTGCTTGATGGGCATAGAGGGGAATGCCAAACTCCCACTAGCATGGCATCAAGAGCGCTTGGTGATGTGACCTCAGCTCACCTATGCAGCCCAGAATCCTCCTTCACCTAGGCACATGCTTGAGCTCCTACACAGGCTGGAGGCGTCCAACGCTCCCCTAGCCCTGGTCTTGCCCAGGCTGGCCATTCTGCCTAGAAGCTCTCCTCCTTTGCATTTTCGAATCTTAACCCCATTCCATGGAACTCTCAGAAACTCAAGATTCTACTTCATGCTACTTAGCAGTCATCCTCTTTTTCTCTGAGTGTTCACAGCCCTTTGCTTGTTATCTTGGACATAGGCAGCTGTTATTTGGCCAGGATTCATTTCCCCTTCTGCTGGTAATAGTACCTCACTTGGATCAGGAGCCTCCCTTTGGAAGCCACCCCTTCCCAGTTGAGGTCCCTGTGTGTCAGTCACCAAGGGCTGCTCTCTGGCTCTAGGGTTCAGATCCTCTGGGCCAGTGATTGAACACGAATGGGCATGTGGCCGAACAATGGCCAAATCAGAGGCAGCCCTGGGACTTTTGCTGGAGTTCCATGGGAAAGAGGCCTCTTTCTCTGCTAGGCATGGTAAACTGATGGAATGAAAGCCTGGAGCTGTTGGCTATCTTCTTTGCTACCACTTGGGGAGGGCCAGGTTGAGAACTAATCCACCATGAAGACAACAGAGAGAGAGAGAGAGAGAGAGAGAGAGAGAGAGAGAGAGAGAGAGCGAGCAAAAGATAGAGAAAAGCAGAGACTTCTGAAGTACTAATGACATCCTTAAGCCCCCGGATTCATCCGTGCCTGAAGCCAGCCTGAAGCCAGTATGCCTCTGGTCTTCCCATTTCTATGAGTTAATAAACTCCTATTTTTGCCTTTAATTGAGCTGGAGTTAGGTTTTCTGTCACTTAGGATCAAACAGGTCTTAAGAATAAAGCCTGTCTGAGCTCCTGATCACACATTCCCTGGTGTCACAATTCTTCATGAATGCATCATATCTGTTTCCTGCATTACACTGCAAGGTCTTGACAGCAGAGGTAGGTGTGGGCTGCAGCTCTGCGTGCTTGCCATTGCCTGACATCAGGCCAGAGAGTGACCACCTAGAAGCATCTGGGGTCTTATGGTGTCAAAGCTGTGACAAAGGTCTGTGCTGAGAATTGCTTTCAGGTACTTGAGTATATAAATGTGGTCACTGGAGCCCAGCAACAAGGGGACACTTGTCTAATAGTGCAGTGTGTGGGTCACTGGAGGTTGGCCCCTCTAGATAACTCTATGCACCCATCACCTCCTCTCCACTAAATTCACTCAGCAACTATATTATTGAGAGGGGATATTGCAGTCATTAAAACAAAGCCCCTGTCCTGGTGGGAACAGAGCTTAAACACTATTATTGGAGTAAGTTATTTACTCCCTCAAGTCTGAGTATTCAGAGGTGATAAATTCTTCAAAGGGGCAGTCATGAGGATTTAAAGTGATACTTCATGCAAAGTAGTGAGTTCCTTCTACATAATTAAAGCTTGATAAATGGTAGTTAGTATTATTAGCATTATTACAAAGTTACAAGGGACAAATAGGTAATTACCAATGGTGGTAGCCAGTGTGAAGGAAACAAACAAGGTACTCTGAGGGCCCATAATGGGCAATAAAGGAGAGATGGCCTAAGGAGAGGGCATGGGGACCAAGACCAGGAGGGAGAGAAGTGGCAGCAGGGGTGCGAGGAACAGGGAGGGCATCTCAGGCAGAGGGAACCTGCCGGGAGCTCCCAATGGGGGAAAGAGGCTGCTGGGAAAGATGCTGTTTGGCCGGAGTGCAGCAGATGATGGAAAGGAAGGGAGATGGCTGGAGATGCAGGCACAGACCCGATGGGGCAGGACCCACAGAATGCGGAGGCCCAGGCAGCTGGGGCGGGAGCAGGGGGACCCACTTGCTGATGTACTCCCCGGTGAGGATGACGCTGCAGGTCTGGCACTTGAAGCAGCTGACGTGCCACTGCTTGTCCAGCGCCAGGAGTGACTGGCCATGCTTGATCTCCTCCTTGCACCCGGCACAGTCTGCAGAGATAAGAGGACACTGCTGAAGACTCACCCTGGGCCCTCTGACCCCGCTATCTCAGGCCCACATCGAGGAAACCCCTCCCTGAACGCCAGTGTTCCCATAGTTGCTCCCATCCTGACACTGGCAGATGCCCAGAGGCTCTCGCAGGGGAGAGGAAAGGCCACTGGAGCCCTGGCTTCTTGACAAGGGGTCTTGGTGTAGGAAAGAAAGAAAGACCTCCCTGCTTGTCATCAAGACCACATTGTTCACTGAAAGCAGACCCTGCACTGCTTCCGGCCCTGCTCAAATGGCTAACTAAGCTCTGCTGTTCTCCATGACCTTGGCATCTGCAGCGTCAGCATCACCTGGGAGCTGGCAGCGTACAGCATCACAGACCCCACCCAGACCTCCTGAATTTTACCAAGACCTCAAAGTTTAAGAAGCATGCCTCCTGGGGGTGGGCTAAGCATACAATTTTTCCAACCCTTAGGCTATATACTCAATGGCAAGGACTGTGTTTATATTTTGTGCTTAAATCTTTTCCCCTGCCTAGCACAAAGCATAGCCGTTTCATAGCAGGAACTCAAAGCATATTTGCTGAATGTGTATGAATGGTTGGGCCTGATGGGACCCAGGCAACAAACAGAATTACCGCAATTACCCCTTCCCCATTCAAACGTCGAACATGCGACTTCTCAGGTGGCAAGGATTATAGAGTCTGATGAGACTGTCCCAAACCAGAAAGGTGCCCTCAATCCCTGTCACGGTCACTCTGGAATGTGAGTTGGGGCCAGCGGGATGTGGGCCAAGCCTAGCATCAGCCTATTGCTCAATGAATGTCTGGGGAGGGTCCGGAAATGGAGCCAATGTCCAAGGCACTTGGGAACTGCTGGGAATTCAGGCCTAGCCAACTGGATGGCTCACTTTGGAGGAGGAAAGGGTCATGGGGCAAAGTTGACCAGAGGACAAATTTCCCTGTTGGCACCATAAGACAAATGTACACTTTGGAATAGTGAGGAGAGCAGAAACTGCATGTAAATTTGGGGGATCCTGACTGGACAGCCTCTACATCCAGCTGGGAGCCAGTCCTAGAAGAAAAGATGATGTGTCTGCAGATCCAGGAAGGGTGGTGGGCCCAGCAGGCTGTGGGGAGGGTCTGGGGCCCTGATGAAGTGTTTATATGTGTCAGTTCCCATAGTACTACGCCTCTTGGCTGTTGTGTGTCTTTCTAACATCCCTTAGTGCAAGTTGGGGGCAGAAGGTCTCTGCTTGCAAAATGCTTCAAGCCTCAGGCCTGCAGATGGGGGCTGGGAGAATAAAGAATTTTGAGATTTATCTCTTTTTTCTATTCTCCTACGGTCAAGTCTGTATGTCTACTTCCACCCCCTGCCCAATAATTACAGACTTCGGAATGCAATAATTTAGAGAGGTCAGGTACCCTCTTCTGTTTTCTAGATAGACGGGGGTCTGAAATGACTTGCCACAGCTCAGTTTAGAGGAACCCAAGACTGTAGACACATGCTCAAGCTTTCGAGGCCACTAATTCTGAACTTGTATCTCTATGGGCCTCCCCAACAGGGCCTAGAAATTCCATAGGGGTTTGGAGTTCACAGAGTATTTGGTCAAACATCCCACCCAATTCAGGAATCTACAGCATTCTTGACAAGTGGGCACCTCTCCTCTGCTTAATCACCTCCAATAGCACGCAGGTCAACCCCTCCTGAGGAAGTCCACTCGCCCTTGGACAGGTGTGATTATCATGACTGTCTTCTTTCTATGGAGCTGAGACTCGACTCCTGTGACTACTCCCATTGTTGTGTGTGTGTGTGTGTGTGTGTTTGTGTGTGTGTGTGTGTGTGTGTGATACTAACTGTGGTCTGTATTTGAGTGTTCTTGTATAATGCTCTGACTGCTCCTATTCTTATGCATCGGGAATAATCTACCTCTTTCCCATATGACAGTTCTTTCAAATAATTAAAGACGACTATGGTTTCTCTCTTCTTTATTCCTTACACTTTTTCTTGCTTGACATAGTCATCCACTGATCAAATTTACTTGTGGATTCCACGGAGAGAGACATGTTATTGGCAAACAGAACAATTCTTCACTTCATCAACAAAGCTTATTGCATAGCTGTATCCTTTCATGGCCACATTCTGGTAATGCATCCTATCTCTCCACATTTCAGTGGTACATCTGACATGAATTTAGCACCTTGAGTTAAGCTGTAGGAGATAGTACGGCACAGTGGTTAGAGGCTGGACTGAGGGTTGGAGTGAGTGGTGAGAAGTTGGCCTAGGAGAGAATCCCAGCTCCTACCCTTATGAGCTGTATGCTCTCTAAGTCCAGACTTGCTCATCTGAATATCTCCCTTATAACACTGGTGTGAAGGTTAATTAAAATCAGGCCCATAAGGCCTTAGCACAATGCTTGGCCCATATGTCTCAAATAAGTGGTTGTTGTCATATTCTTTCACATTCTTCTGTTTTTAATCCACATTCCGTGCATTCCCCAATCTCTGTTCTGAAGTCAGGAGCGATAGTCCTGTCGTAGGGAAGCCTGCTGATTCCCTGTGAGAATTCAGGGACGTTTTCCCCACGTGCCTTTTCTTTTCATGTCATACTGCTGCTTCCCCATTACATCAGCTTCTTATTTATTAGGACCTTTTCTCTCTCTTTTTCCTCCTTTCACTCTCGACCACCAGTGGAGTCTCAGTCATGCCACTTGGGAGCCTGTGGGTCTGGTGTAATAAATAGAATCAGGAAAACCACACCCTGTTCCAAGTTGGTGTCTGCAGAGCCAGCTGTCCACTCCTCCATATGTTCCTCTCTATTCCAAAATTACAATCGTCAGCTGGCAGAATGTATGATGCTACCACCTGTCCCTCCCAGATGCCTCCATTATAAACTGAGGCCTCCTAAAGACGCTAGACAGCCATTTTTAGCCTTTTTAGACTGTGTCATTCATTCTATTTAAATCAGAAAAAAATGAGTGGGTTTTGTGAGTCATAGCAAGCTCCCTACCTTGTTTTAGGCAATGAATCCAGGAAGACCAGATACTTCCTAACTTGCAAGTCATGTCTCTGGTACAGGATGTTAAGAGAATAGGATCTAAGGCCAGACTGCCTGGTCTCACATTCTAGTTCCATTACTCATTATCTGGGTGACTTTGGACAAGTCATTTATGCTCATTGAGTCTCAGTTTTCTCATCTATAAAATAACTACTCTTATCTCCTTCATCCAATTATTATAACAATTAAATGAAATATTCTGTATAAAACACTTACTGAAGTGCTTGTTAATAGTAATAATTGATGTTAATGATGGTGCTGGTGGTATTGTTGGTGATGACAGTGTTGGTGATGGTGGTGACAGTGGGTGATGGTGGCAATTATAATGGTGGTGATGGTATTGATACTGCTGGTGCTGGTGATAGTGGTAATAGTGGTGATTACGGTAGTGTTGGTGATGGTGGTGATTGTGTTGGTGGTGACAATGGTATTGATGATGATGAGGGTGGTGATGGTAGTGATTGTATTGGTAAAGACATGGGTGTTGGTGGTGATGGTGGAGAAGGTGATGGTGATGATGGTGGTGGTGATGGTGCTTCTGATTGTTCTTAATGAGCTTTTTGCAGTATCTGGCAACAGTAACAGTCAATCAGTGTTAGCAATGATGGTGGCTATTGTGGTAGTAGTGATGGAGGTGGTGGGGATGGTGGTGGGGATGATGGTAGTGATTGTATTGGTGGTGTTGCTGGTGATGATGGTGGTGGTGGCATTGATGATATTGGTCATGATGGTGGTGATGGTGAACATAGTGGTGGTGATGATAGTGGTGATGACGGTAGTAGTGATGATAATGATAATGTTGGTGATGTTAGTGATAATGATGGTAAGGGTAGTGGTGTGAAGGTGATGGCAATGGTAGTGATGGTGGTGATGTTATGATATAATGGTTATGGTGGTGGTGTGATGGCAATGGTGGTGATGTTAGTGATGGTGGTGGTGGTGGTGATGTGAAGGTGTTGCTGGTGGTGGTGCTGCTGCTGAGACTGCTGCTGATTCTTTTCACTGAGGTCTGTGCAGTGCCTGGAAATAGTAACGGTCAATCAGTGTTTGCAACGATGATGGTTATTGTGGTGGTGATGGTGATGGTGGTGGTGATGGGGTTTCTGCTGCTACCATTGGTGATTCTTCTTAGTGAGATTGGTGAGAAGACATTTCTTCTTCCTGTGGTAGGTAACAAAATTATTTCCTCTTGACAGTTCCTGAATATTTTTCTTGGTCTCTTTGGAGTAGACACTGCTCTTGATTTTCCAGAATATCTTTATTTACTCTTCAGAGATGAAACATCACACTTACAGCTTAAAAAACACCCAACTATTATGTCCTTCTTTTCCTTTTCCATGATATGTTCTTTTGCTTAGCAATCCCTTAAATCTGGCTTTGGTTTCCTGCATCCCATGGGTGCTGAGAAGACCTTCCAACACCCTGTCTAGTCAGGAGCTACTTGGCATTTGCAGCATGACCAGTGACCACCTCTATAAAACATACCACTGTAGATCTACGGATTGATGTCTTTACTTTGTGAGTAACAAGATAAGCTATAATACTAAGTATGCCCCCATTGGAAACTGCCTGTGTGCTCATATGCTTCTCTTGACTCACTCTTTCCTCACCTTCTTCCACCTCCTAATCATCCAAATTATGGTGGAGACATTTGGGAGCCTCTCTTTGAAAACATACTCACACGTGAGACTCCCACACTCAGCTGAAGAAATCTCCCACCTAACAGAGTAGGTGATGGGTGTAGCACAAAGGCACACAGTAACATACAACCCAAACCAGGGGAAATAACAACAGACCTAGGAGTCTCCTTCTCAACCTCTTTTGGTGTGCTTTCTATATTAAACCTCCATGCCAACATCATCCCTCACTCTGTATTTATAGAGCATTTTACACACTGAAATATGTGTTAATTTGATTCCTGAACTAGTACATTTGCTTTCCCCAACACTCCTGTGAGGAAGAATGGAAATTCCATCCCTCTTTCATACTGGGTAAACTGAGTCTCAGGGAGGCTTCATGACTGCTTTGCAGCATGCAGAAGTTTGGCAGCCTTCCAACTTGGGCTCATTTCTCCTTCTCCTGCCTCACACGTGATCTGTCAGTCTCTGGGGTCCTCAGTAGCATTGGCCACAGGGTTGTGATCCCATATCCCAGCCTCCTTGTTTTTCTGTCACTCTGGATGATGCTTTCAAGGAGCTGTGAAGGATAACACTGTATGCATTCAGCCACCTTGACATGGAAACCTGGTTGGTACAGCAATCTATTCTTGAGCATCATCAAGGACATCGAAGGAAGGGCTCTGCACATTTCAGGAATAGATCCGATTTGGCTGAAAGGAAGAGCAGGCAAGGGAGGGAGCCTTCCCACTGTCTTTCTCCTCAGCTCACCATGGCTGGATGCACTCCAGGGGAGCCTCTGTGAGCTGAGCCCTGCTGACTCGGGGTGATCTCTGCTCACTCTCTCTGGCTGGATGCAGCCCAGCATGCTGACTCTGCTGGTGCCATGGCCAACAGCACCCCGCACCCGCACAGTGCAACATAGGAGGCTAATGGGTTTTCATTGATTCTCTCATCGAGGCCAGTGAGAGTGTCATATAACATGAAAGAACACTGGAGCCTAGCATGGCTGACTGAGACCCAGGGAGCTGGGTCTATGTGTGTGTGGGCATGTGCAGCAGCAGCCTGACAAGGGCGTCTGGGAACAGTGATTTAGACATCTTATCACTAGGTGCACTTAAGTGGAATGGACATCCCACAAATTAGAATGACCGTTCTGAGGTGCATTCCTGATCCTCAGTTTTCCTCCAAATCTGTGGTTGGTGATAAAATATAATATTCACCATGGTATGACAGATGCTCCCCTTATCCCTAGATAGTGGTTCTGAATCTCAGGAACAGCAAATGAATCACCCAGGAAGCTTACTAGGAATGCTGATTCCTAGGTTCCATCTCTAGAGGTACAGGGTGAGCTCAGACACCTGCATTTTTACAAATCGTGCAGTGAAGCTGTTGGAACTATGGTTCTCTAGCTGATTGTCTATGGAACACTCTAAGAGGCACTAACACAGCTCTGTGGTTTGCTCCCAGGGAACCCCATACTACCTCTGCTGTAAGTCATGTCTACAAATTCTTCTCAGTGAAGTTGGTAAAAATTGAGAGCCACTGGTGAAAAAACACTTGATCAGCCCTATTGAGGAATCTGTGGGACATAAGATCAGGAACTCAGCTCGTGCCAGAGGAGACATACCATGTGGCAGATATGTGGCACTGGCTGCTACTGTTTATGGCCAGGCAGCCTCTCTTCCCTGCATTGTGCGTGTGAAGCTTGTGAGTCTGGGCCACATGTCTATAGGGTCATGATGCAGGAGGCCTCCAGGTTGAGAACCTTCCCGACTACCCTCCAGGCCCATGGGAGCAGTTGGCAGTGCTAGGATAGGGGAGCCCAGGGAGATCACACCCATGGACAAGGAGATACCCGCGGGAAGGACTCACGACTTGGTCCACGAATCTTGATGGGCTTACTGCTGGCCATGGACTGGGAGCACGTTTGGCACACACATTCTTTACCACTGAAGGTCACCTTGTCTCCAATGGGGAAAGGCTTCCTACAAGTGAGATGAAGGAGAAATTCAGCACACTCTCTTCTGAGGGATTCCACAGCTGATCACACGTGTGCTCAAAGCACTTTGGTAACACATACAGCTTGACTTCTAGAGCACCATGCAAATTCAAATGCTGTTCACAATGACAGGCCAACTAAACTGCTCAGTTAGGGGCCTGGCGGCCGGAACTGGAGCCCCATTGGGCTGCTTGTGTATTTTGGCCAGATCATGATGCTTATCTGAGCTTACATGTCTCGGCTCTAAGAAATAGAGGTTACTAACTCCTCATATACTTGTTCTCTCTTGGAAGGACTTTTTCCATCCCAGTTTGATCTATCCCCATATGTCAAGAATTCATTCACCTCCCAAACTTACCAAGATTTCCTCCTTTTACTACTCAGGCATTTTTCAAAATCTCCCTTCTCAATAGGAAGTGTGTAAGTCTGTAAATAATCTCTTCCTCTCCTCCTCTGGATTTGTTCAGTTTCCACAGCTGAGGAGTCTCAAATTTGTATATGCTCTGCCTCCTCAACTAAATTATGAACTGAATATAGAATCCCCGGCACCACCATGCCCACTGTTGAGTTGCTCTTCCCGATGCAGCTGGGATGCCTGTTACGAGGACTCTGAGCACAGCACCTAACATCGGCTCCCAGGGACTCCAATGTCCTTGTATTAGCACTGTGGCATGATGGAGAGATCACTGGGGCAAGAGTCAGGGGAGCTATGTTCTTATGGTGGCCTGGCCACTAGCTTGTGGTAGAAAGACATCGCGTGATCGTCAGGAGTCACCTCATCTCCGTGGGGCTTGAAAGAAACCCCATCTTGTACCATAGGACTCCTCCGTGCTAACCTCTGATGGGTCTGGGATTCCAGGGCTCAGGGCTCAGGTTTTAAGAGCTGGGTAGCTGAGTGAATTCCATGAGGGGATTATGTTTTCTTACGTGCTCTGTCATTAGTCTCAATTAGAAACTCTAAGTAGTTATTCTAACTGGTAACTGACTGGTGGTTATTTTACGGGGGAGAATAATCAATCTGTACGTTCCTTTCCCAATTAAAAAATACATATATACTCTAATCATGCTTTACTTATGATGTAATCAGAGCTGTCTGTTAAAATTTAATGTATTTGTGGGCAGGGCCGAGCTTCCTTCATTTTTTCATCTCCTTAATGTGTTGCTTGGCATTCAGTGGAGTCTTAATGTCCACTTGCTGAATTAACAAGTGATGGAGATGCGGAGGGTGAAGCAGGAGGCAGGGATGAGCTCTCCATCCCTGGAGATGTCCTGAGAGGAGGTAGATGACTATCATCATGCAATAAAAACAGATGCTCTCACATACTGGTTACTGAGCTAATGCCTGTATCATCATCTCATTGATCTTCAAGAAAACCCGATGAGGCTGGAATGGCTTTGGCCTCCATTTTACTGGCCAAGAAGCTGAGGCTTGCAGAGTTGAGGATCACTTGCCAGGGTCACTCCAACAGCACAAGGTGGTGCTAGGATGACGGAGGAGGTATAAACAGCTATCCCTGTCCCATCTGTGGATGAGGGTGTGGGAGGCTGGGCCAGGTCCATGGTTTCCAAACTGAGTTCTGAGAGACTCAGTGGTTTCTTTGGGGGCCTTTTGGGACGGATTGGGAGGCTGAGTTTGGAGATGCAGATCCTTACTCTGCCTCTATCATAGGACAAACAAGTGCTTTAGATCAGATTGTATTTTTATAAGAAAGATTCAGATGCTACAATGTTTAAATCAGATCCTTTCACACCTGAGCCTCCAGAAATCTAAATGCCCAGCATAAACCTTGTAAACCCCAGGACTTCCGGGAAAAAGCCAGGTCTTCCCCTGCCCTGGGGGCTTATGCAGAGGGTCTCAGCCCCGGCTGGTCACACTCTCACCTGCACAAGCTGCACACGAAGCACTTGGGGTGGTAGGTGCGGCCCAGGGCTGAGATGACTTCGCCTGTGATGAAGTCCCGGCAGCTGTCACAGCGGGTGCCATAGAGTTGCTGGTAGTCCTGGGTGCAGATGTACTCCTGATTCTTGAAGAAGAAGCCTGACTGGGCCAGGCCACAGCCACATACTTGAGGAAACAAGGAAGGAAACAAGGGCAGGATGAGTCTAGGGAGGGTCTGCAAGCAGAAAGTCCTCACTGGGGGAAAGGCTGGTGTCTGTGTCATGAGCGGCCAGAGAATGGTAGCATGTCAGACTTCACAGGCCTGTGGGGCCAGTATTCCTTAAAGAATGGCCAGTAGGCCACTAGCATCAGAATCACCCCAGAAGCTTCTTACAATGCAGATGCCTGGGACTCAATCAGACTCCCTAGAACTGGGGCCTGGACATCTGCATTTGAACAGCACCACCTCCCCAACCCCAACCCCACTAGGCTGATTCTGATGCACACTAAGAAGCACTGATGGTCTACAGTCCTCTCAATACATGAATGAAAAGTTTAGTGCCATGTGGCGCACGTAAGGCTGCACAGCTGGTGGAAATATGAATGTAATAAAAGAATCATTCAGTTAAACGTTTCCTGGGTACTTCCTATGTGCATGATTCTTTGCCAGGTGAAGAGCAGTGTGGGAACCATATGCTCCAAATCCCAACCTGGAATCATCTTAGGATGGCAATGGGATGGGTGATTTGAAGTCTAGAATCTGTGCTCCCCATAGCCGTAAGAGGGGGTGGGTCTGTTCCCAGGTAGGAATAATAAAAAGCAATCCCTGAATTTCAAAGAGCTAAAAATGCTGCAGAGAGAAGATCATACAGAAAAAAAAGCCCCATATCATACGTGATGGGCCACGGAGCCGGTGCAAGCAGTAAGGACTGTGAGTGAGGTGGAGACTTGCCAGTTGGAAGGGATCATGAGAGGCTTTCAGAGGAGGTAGCATCTGAGTTGAACACTAAAGGAACAGAATGAGCCCAAGCACAGAGGCAGGAAGGTGCAAGTGATATTTGTATGAGGGCTAGAGGTATGTAGGGGTGGCGTTTGTAGGAAGTGCTGGGAAGCAATGCAGGAAAAAATTGCTCAGACCAGTTGGAGGAGGGCCTGAATCCAGCTTCAGATTAGGTTTTGCAGGATACTGAGGAGCCATGGATGGTTCTTTTACCAATTCTAAAAATTTAGAAAAAAAACCTCAAACATATACAAAAATGGGAGAAGATTGTAATAATTCTCCATCATTCAGCTGCAAAAATAATCAATTGCATTGATGGCTTTTGAACAGAGACGCAACAGGATTTTACAAGGCATTTCATAAAGTCTCTTGGAATATTCTTTTGGATGATAGGGAGAAATAAATATAGGACAAAATGGAAAAACAAGTAGATTTATAGGTTTTTGAACAATTGAATTATGTGAGTTCCACCCCCACTGAAGGACTTAGAAATATGAGAAATAAGATTTTCCTGTAAGGAGCTTGAAATCAATGCATGAATGGGCAGAGCAGAAAGAGGTAACATTTCTTCCAAGGGAATAAATGGCTCCCAGGGCCAGCAGAACTGCAGTAACCCACCGAATGTACTGATCAGCTAAAGCAACGATGCACCGGCCAGGAAGGGGGCTGGTTAGCAATCGGAGGAAGGCAACTGGGGAGCCCATTCAAATCCTGTCACCAGCTCCCCTGGTTCTGAGGCTGCTCTCTGATGGACTGACTTTCCACCTAGATTGCCTATCAGAGGCCAGGTGCTGGCCAGGCCACCACGAAACAGTCCATCTGAAAGTCACCCCTCTTGTCTACATTGATGAGCATATATTCTGGGTTTCTACATCATTTTCCTGAGGACTTAGTACAAGTCAGCTTTTTCAAGGGTGATCAATGATGGGGAAACCAATGAGATAGTTGCCAAGCCCGTAAGTCTTAAGAGTCAGCCTGGTACTGAGTGAAAACATCCCAGCAAATACTACCTCACCTTTAGCAGGGAAAGTTGTTTTGCAAAAGCAGCCAGGTTAAAAATGGGAGAGACTGCCAGGTGAATGCCAGAAATATTTCATAAGTGTGTGTTCACCTTTGGGGCTTGGTGGCTTAAAGGGTGAGGCTGAGTGAGGAGGAGGAAATTCCAGAAGTCACTGCATGGAGGAGCAGCTCAGGACAGTGGGAGACACGGTGGTCTGACAGTCAAACCACCCAGCCTCTGGTCTCATCACAGCCACTGAGTTTCTGGACAACAGTGAACTTTACCCTCTCTTCTCTGGGGCCTGTGCTCACTTCTGTGCAGAATGAAGAGGTGGAACTTTTCTTTCATAATTGACATGTTATAAGTCTATGAGAATAAAAGCTTCCTTTAGGGCTTACTCTATGCCTTAACATTTTTGACTCAGTGTGGAGTATTGCTTGTGACCCCTGACACCACCCCTATGAAGAGGCAGGAGTATGGGGGAGTTGGTGGTGGTGTCAGAAGTCTGGGAAGGGGTCATCTTCCATCAGGCATTATGAAAATTCATCACATTGAATCATGGCTGGTCTCATGAACAGGCAAAGCCAGAGCACAGGCTGTTCTGGGCTGTGCAGATGGTGGAGCAATTGACTTCATGGCTGTGGAATCAGTTAGGTCATGGCCTACAACCTCATTGGAAACAGTTCCTGTTTTTTCCCTTTTTTTCCCTCTCCTTTGTCTCTCTTGCCAACTCCACCCCCAGAGACACCTCTCCCAGTGGAGTAATCCAGGAGACCATAGGAAAACTTGGAACAATAAGTCCTCCATTTCCCCCAAGGAGCTAAAGGAGGAAGTTTTTGGTAGAAAGGATGTAAAGGTTGATATGTCTCTCAGGGGTCCCTGGAAATACAGTGGGGAACACAGGGATGGAAGGCAAGCTGGACCAGCATGACGGATGGATCCGAGGTGGAGTGGAGCCAGGCATTCAAAAAACAGGAAAGTCATGGAGTGGGTTTGTAGTATGGAAGTGACATGAAATTAACACACCTGGGGCTGTCATTATTCTGTGAATTAAAAAAAGATGAATTCTATCAATTAAAAAAATGCAGGCCATTTGGATGGACAATGGAATGGAATATTCAACATTAAAACTGCTTTGAGCAAATTCAGAATAAATGCTCAGTGTCAATATAAGGCTCAGAAGGAGGCCTTGCACACAGCCCCGGCATGTGTCAGTGAACAATGTACTGCTTCCTAGGTTATTGGACCTTTGTCCACGGTCCTGTTCTAGTACTCAAGTGCTGGGAGATTTTGAAAAAGTTACCCCAGCTCTCTGGAGCTCATTTGTAAGATGAAGGGGCTGGTGGCTCACTGAGGACACATCTAGATCAGAAAGCCCAAGATTCGGTCATACAATTTCAGTGATTTTCAACTTTTCGAATGAGACTGGATTTTACGGAATTTCAAAATCTAAGAGTTAGAAGGGCCCCCTGAAGGTGATCTAATTCATTATTCAGAACATTTTATTGTGAAACATATTATACATGAGAAAATGTATAAAATGTATCTGTCTAGTCAAAGAAGAACAGTAAAATAACTCCCATGTACTCACTACCGAGTTTATGAAACAGAACATCACCAATTCCTTGGAAGCCTGTTTTCCTCTCCTTAAGAGCACCCCTGTCCCATACTGTCCCTAATTATGTGCTTATCATTTCCTTGCTTTACTTTATAGTTTTAGCACCTGTGATGTACCCATAAATAATATTTTGTTTAGTTTGGCCTATTTTTGAACTTGATGTTGATGAAGTACTACTGCATTTAGCCCTTGTCTGCTTCATTCCCTCAGCTGATGCACATAGCCGCAGCTCACTCATGGTCATTGCTCTGGTGTATTCCATTGCCTGAATACATCACAGTTGGTCCACTCCACTGCTGAAGGCCATTTGAGCTACTTGCAGTTTTTTGTTTTTATGAAAATGCTGTTGTAAATATTCTTGCATTAGTGAGGTAATGCCTCACTGTTTTCCAAATAGCTTTTCCTATTTACCTTCCCACCAGCAGTTCTCACTAATATATATAAATAGTACTTAGTAATATCTAACCTATTTGGTCAACACAGTGAATGTGAAATAATATCGTTTTGTGATTTTAAATTTCGTTTCCCTAATGATTAATGAAATTGAGAATTTTTTCAAATGTGAAAATACTTGCTAATGTTTTTTGCTCATATTTTTTTTTTCTTTTAGATGTGGAGAAATTCTTAATATATTTTGGAAATCAATCCTTTTTTAGCCATTTATTACAAATATCTTCTGCAATTTGGGGCTTGCTTGTTGCTCCTCTTTTCTTGTTTTTGGATAAGCCGAAGTTCTCAGTTTTCATGTTGTTGAATTTGTGAATCTCTTCCTTTATGGATCGCCCTTTCTGTGTCATGTTTCAGAAATTATTCTCTACCCTGAAATCCTAAAAAGATATCTCTTACATTGTCTTCTTAAAATGTTATTGAGTTGCCTTTCACAGCAAAGCCGTTAATCCACCTGGAATTGACTTTAGGGAATGGTAATACAATAGGTATCTGATTTTCTCCCACATGGATAATTAATCGTCTCAGCATCACTTATCAAGCAGTCTAATCTTTCCCCACTGATCTGTAAAAAGCAAGTTTCCATATATATTAAAGTTTGTGTTTGGTTCTATATTCAGTTCCATTGGTCTATTTATCTGTCCTTAATCCAAGATCATACTTTTTTAATAGCTTATAATAACAAATGATGATATCAGTAGAATAGTTCCCCTTGCTTTGGCATTCTTTAGGAATGCTTTGATTATTCCTGGCCTCTTGTCAAGAATATAATTTTAACTGATTTCTTAATTTCTATGGAAAACCATATGGGATGTATTAGAATTGTTTTGAATATTTAGTTTAACTAGAATAGAGCTGTCATCTTTTTTATATTTCTATCTTTCTATCAGAGAACTTAGCATATTTAGAAAAATTATTTAGGTCTTTAATGACATTTAAATAAATTTAACAATTTTATAATTTGTTATGACATTTAATAAATTTAACAATTTTATAATTTGTATCTTATACAACTTTATAAAATTTATTTCAAAATTAAAATTCTTTTCTTGTTGAGGTAAATGGTGTCTTGATTGTTAATGGCGAATACAAATGCCATTTTTCCCTGTATTATTCTGTAT